TGAAGAGGCTCTAACAACCTAATCAGATTCTATCTATCTCAGGTTGTAGCAGAAATCGAGAAAAGCTGATCAGACTTCAAACAATTCAATAAACATGCATCATTCGATTAAAATCAAACAGTATAATCATCCCAAGTCATTACAATCAAATCCCTAACACCAGGAACTAGGGTTCTTCATACGCAAGTGAGAGAAGGGTTCTACTCCATAGAGAGAGAGAAGAAAACAGTAATCGAATTAGTCATACTCATAATGATGAGGAAAATCTGCTCCGGGATGATGATTTCCACTCCTATGACGATCTCCAAGCTCGATTTGACGAAACCCAGCTCCAAGATAGCTTCTTGGATGTGTTCTTCGTACTTTCTATCTCTAGGGCTCTGTTTTTGCTCTGAAAATCCGATCCTCCACTTTTTGGCTCGAAATTGGCTGAAAAACCAAGATTTCCCGACTCACACGGGCCGGCCACACGACCGTGTGGCTCACCACTTCGCCCGTGCGAGTCGAAACGCAGCGTACCACTAAGTCGATCTTCAGCCATCTCACACGGCCAGGGTTGCACGGCCGTGTGAATTTCCTGGGATGCCCGTGCTTGGCCTCGGCAAAAATCACACGGCCACAAGTGCAACTTGCACGGCCGTGTGATACCTAGGGTTGCCCGTGCGGCTTCCTTAGAACCTCGCCATGCGTCCGATCTTCGTCCAATCGACCCCAAACTCGCTCCCAAGCCTCCATTCACGTACTAGGACCTGAAAACACAAGAATCAACACCTCAGACGGTGTAAGAACAGGGGTAGAAACATGTGTAAATAATGGTCTATCAGTATGATAGAAGCAGATGGTGAGATTGAGCTTGCGGGATAGAGGCGGTGGGTATGGCGAACAGTGGTGGGAGTCGGAGGCAGTGGTCTAGCTTCATCCCTCCCTCGTCGCCGATGAACTATTGAAGAAGGAAGAGGAAGAAAGTTGGGAAAAGAAAGACGACACATTAGGGATTTAATTTGAAGATTTGTTTTACATTTTAGGGATTTAATTTGAATGAGTCGGTTATTGAGTCGGGTTGAGTTAAATCGTTGTATTGTGTTGGGTTGGGTACTTGGGTTGGGTTGGGATGGACTGGGATCGATGACATGGCAGGTCTTAGTGATATGACAGGTCATATTAGGTTATGTGGCGGGTTAAAATTGGGTGAGCCAACATTTTTGCTAGCCACGTCAACAAATGACTAACGGTGTTAACAGAGTTAGACGGAGACTAACGGAAGGTGACCAAGCATGGACTGTCAAACTAATCTTAGTGACCATTATTGGAATTAAATATTTTTTGTAATCTCAGTGACCAAACTTGCAATTAACCCGTTTTTAGGCCTAATACCAAAAAAGGCTCATAGTTTAGAGTTTAGATCACTTGTACCCCTATTGCTTATTTCGAGCCACTTCTGTCACAAAGTTTAGAATCCGTTAATGAGCATCATTATTGTTTTACGGTCAACTATTGACCAATAATGTGTTAATAAAAGATTATTGGGATTTGCCGTGTTACTAATTACAGAATTATGAGGTTTTGTTTAAGGTAAGAAAAGGGTAAAGTAAAAAGTGGTATCGAATTTCATCGCTCTCAATTCTCTCCTTCTCTTCGCGTTCGAAAAGCTCCCCGAATTTAACTAACAAAGAACAAGATCGCCGTCGATCGTGCAGCGGAGCATGAAATTGGCGGATGGTCGTCTGGGCAGCGTCGCAAGCCTAAATTCACTGGAGGCGGACCGTCGAACAAAAACACCTTCGACGACTATTCCTCCTCTCATCGACACCCTTGCTCCATCCTTCGACATCGACAACGACGGTTGAGGGGTTGACGGCCATTTCTTCAAAAAGCAACAGTCAATTGGGTCTTGGTGTTGGTATTCCCCCAATTTCCCCTAGTCTTTGACGGTGTCCCTTCAATTCTCCCAATTTCTAGGGTTTCATTCTCACAAAAACTGGTAGGGAAACAGAGTGAATGGAGGAGATGGAAGGTGGTTGTGATACTTGAAGAGTATTCTGAAAAGGTTGTTGAAGGAGGGACCACAAATTGGGTTGTGAAGACGAATCTACCTTAATAGCCGAGCACAATTGGGTATGTACGTTGTTCGTAAAATTGTTATATCGTAATTTTGGATGCATTTGGTTGTGTGTTTATAGTATATCCAACTTGTGATTAAACAACTCTTATTTGTAGAGAATGTATGTTTGGATTAGAAAATTACGCAACTTTTTTTATCTAACCATCTATACTCAACTTGTTGGAACCGTACATGAAGGTAACGGGTAGTGTGCTTCATTGATTTGAAAAATGAAGGTTTTGGTAAAATTTTGGTTTTGTAAAACCATGGATATATGAAGGTTTTGGGTTCATTATGGACTTGTAAAATACCATTGTTTTGTTTCATTGATTTCATGATGGATTTGATAAATTAGATTTGTGGCATGAAGTGAAAATGACTTATCTTGCCCTCATTGATACGTGATGAGAGAAATAAAAGGAGGGTTAGTTTGGTCATAAATGATGGACTTTAAAGTCCATGATCAAGTCCCACCTAAATAGGTGGAATTTTCTAGTCCGTGGGCCCCACGAATTTGGATGCTTAAAGTCCATTGGCCCCACAGATTTCTTGCCATAAAATATATGAAGCAAACAATAGAGTTTGGACAAAGTCCATGATAGATCCAAATCCATCATCAAATCCATCACCAAAACCATCAAACAAACAACCCCTATCGACCTTACTTTCCATCATGGTGGATGGCCACATGGATTGTTCAAAAAGGTAGCTCGTAATATGTCAATGAGAAAAGTGAATAAGTTAGCATGGATAGGGACTACACATCATATTTTAAGCTCAAATTGATGGCTACTCAATCTTTGTAATATTAGAATGGTTATTATGTTGGTATAATCAGAATTATTATTTTGACAGCAAGTCGCTATCTTTTAAGTCATAATCAGTGCACATTAACACGTGAATAGTAGAGTTGCGTTGAAACTTGAACCATACATCAACTCACAAACCACTACAAACAAAACTCTCAAAACCAACTCACTTCAACCATACAAAGAGCACTGTCAAATCCACTACTATAAGAATATACGAAAACAAACAACAACCTAGTTCTACCTTCAGCTCACGAGATAACTTAGAATTTTCCTCCCTAAGATTAGTAAAATCATGACATAAGCGATGCTTTGCCTTCTTACTTTGATTAGCCTTGTCTCGGTAGCTCTCAATCCCATTTCAAGTGAATAATTTTTGTGCTTCATATCGTCGTTCTCTCCTGAAAGTGCTTGAACAATAGCCTCTTCCCTGACAACACAATACTGATCCACCCAAACAAAGTATCTGCAGTCCACCAATTTTTCCTTCCAAAATGGGCTACGATAAAATTCTCTCCCCATATTCTTCTCAGTTCCAGAGACAAGAACAATAGTTGGACACTTGTGAACGTACCTAGGGACATGGGAACTAGCACAACTCGATTTACTTATGATCTTCCCTTTTCCTTGCATTCATTCAGACAAACTTGGATTATTAAACCCTCCAATCTCATACCCAATCCAACATTGTCGGTCTACCCTTTGATATGTCGCTCTTGCATTCAATCCGCAAACTCGTCGTCGTCTTCGCTGCCTCCGATTCCGCCAAAGCGTGTCATTGTCGTCATTGTCACTTTCATCTGCTCCACCAAATTGTGTCGCCTTCGCCGCTATCTACTACTTCCCCAAAACAATGTTGTCGCCGTCGACGACATTGTGTTCTACTCCCCAAACCGCGACATCACTTGTCATTCTCACTTCCATCTCTCTTCATGCTCTGCTCAGTGCTCACTGTCACATGAGAAAGATAAGATAGAAGGAATATATGTGGTGGCGGGTGAAAATATTTAATTTTATAATTAAATTGAAAAAAATATTTTTCTGAGGTGTTAGTGATATGGCATACACGTTGTCACAAAGTCAATAAAATTTTGATCGCCTTTTGGTTGATTGTCAAGTCTAACAATCAGCGAAAAAAGAAGGACAAAAGTGACATAGAGGCTCTAAACGTTGGGACATAACTGTCGTGAGATAAACATAGGGGTAAAAGTGAGCTAAATCCTAAACTATGAGTCATTTTCTGGTATTAGGGCTTTTTTTACGGAAGATGGCATTGGAGATGCTCTGAGTAGAGCCAAATTGTAAGCGACACGAAATCTAGCCACGTGATCTTGGACTAAGGTTTGCTCGAAAGATAGAATGGCGTGGAACGAGCCTGCTTGTGGTGGTCTAGCTAAATTGTACCGGGGCCTATCATTTTATCAACCAAATAAGACTAGGCAACCACCAAATGGAATACGAGGTTTTTCATACAGTCACGAGAATGAAATGACGACGTAATTGTATTCAAGGTCTTTTTGCTGAAAACAAGAATTGATTCACAGATGAAGGAGATCGATAAGCAGCGATTGCAAGTTTGGTCACTTGAATTACTTAAAATTTTTACGTTTGCCACTAAAATTGATTTATTTCATCCATAGTCACTTAAATTAGTTCAACAATTCAAGTTATGTCACTCTCTGTTAACTTTAGCTGATGTGGCAGTCAACTCTAAAAGTTGACCATTAAATAAGTGACGTGTCAGCTAATAATTAAATTAAAATAAAAAATTTCTTTTGCAAATTCCACTCATTATCACAATAAATTAAAACAAATTAAGAGATAAATAAAACCTAAAAAATAAATTTCCCCATAAATTCCACTGTCACCGTCGCAGCGCTCCCCTGATCGATTGTCGGACCGGTCCGCGTCTCCCCGCTCTCGTGAGTCGTGACCCAATCCGAGGTATGAAATTCGGTGGACCTCCGAGACAGCTCTTCTTCCCCTTCCCCTGCCTCCTCCGAGTCCATCGCCACCAGCACCTTCTAGAAGCACGCTACATCGCACAACAGCACCAGCGGGCCTCCTGGCTCTACCCGAACTCCGACTCCGCCTCCTCCAGTAGGACATCCCTTCTTCCTCCGTCGCCGGTTTAATTCCGTCTCCCCCGCCGCTGCCGACCGGGCCTTGCCTAACGACTTGCACCTCGCCCACGTCTGGAATATCGAATTCCGTTTCTTCCCCCATGACTTCGCCTCCATACTTGCTTTGTCTGTCGTAAGGTTCAAACTAGGGATGAGATTAAATTAGACACGTCACTAAACAAAAAGTTTGCTAGTGAAGAAGAAAGGTTTGAAGTAATAGTGTTCGAGAGAGATTTGAGTGCTATTAGAGGGGAGTGGCAGTACAGAGGGTCGATTCAGATACAAAGCAATGCTCTGGCGGCACTCGAGGCGATCGATTTGGATGTCGCGATGAGGCTATGAGAGCTGGTTGAGTTACCGGGGATAGAATTAATGGCCTTGTCGATGGGATTTCTGGCACCTGGTTAGTTCCCTCTGTTCTGGGTTTTCTTACAATATCTCTCTGATTCTGTTTGGCCTTGAAAATTTACATCTTTGTGTGCTTATATGATGTTGTTGTTGTGTGCCGGTTTGATAAATAATATATGTAAGAATGGGTCAATGATCATAAACAAAAATGCGGAGTTATGTTGCAGGTGTGCAGAGATCGGAGATGGGGGCGGTGCTACGAGAGATAATTATTTTTTATTATTTTTTAATTGTCACGTCAGTCATTTAACGGTCAACTATAAGAATTGACCGCCACATTAGTCAAAATTAACGGAGACTAACGATCAGTGACCAAATTTGAACTGTTAATCTAATTTAAGTGACTACATATAAAATAAATTAATTATATTGACAAACATAAACTTGTTAAGTAATTCTAGTTTGTAACTTAGCTTTACTGAAATGGTCGGGTCGGGTAGCAAGCACAAATCTCATTGAAAAAAAGGCCTCTACGGACTACGGTCAAAATAGACCGACAAATGATCCATCCAGTCCGTTCCAGCAAGCAGCGGCTCCATGATTGCCAGACAGAAACGCGGCTTCTCATTTCTCACCGCCTTTCGTTCTCTGTTTCTCCTCCGAATGAGTAAAGAAAAAAATCGATGATGGTTCCATGAAGAATCCCCACAAATTTATGCAAAGAAAGAGGTAGCATGTGACGATGATGATGGCAGATTTATGCAAAGGACGACAAAATCAGAAGTTTGGCAGCTTCTGGTTAAAAAAATCCTCCTCCTCTGCCTCCTGCCAACAAACTTCATCAAGGATCTGAATATATTCCCCTTTTCTGTTTTGTTACCGCATCAGAAAATTGAGAAAAGGCAGGCTGCTAAACGCCACGCGGCCCAATTCGTCATCAGTTTTTAAATAATTCCTAATCCTTAATCACTGCCCACTTGATAAACCTTCCCAAATCTGTGTACTTTCTGCAGACGCGTATAAAACTAATCTAATCCGATCAATAATGATGTATGTTAATCATGTGTGTATGCCTAGCCCACCTGGGTTAATCATTCATGTCAAACCCAGAAAACAGGTTTAGGCCAAAAAGCAATCAGAAAGCAGAGCAAGATAATAGAAAGAAAGCAACCAAAGGGGAAAAGATTAGCTCGAAACAGTCCCAAATAGACCACCAAAGGCTTCTTCTTTTTCTTCCAGCCGCTTCCCCATCTCGGCCTTTATATCGAAGAGAAGACCCAGCTGGCTTTCCTTGGATTTTTCTATCTTTCACGCTCCTTGCCATCCCCACCAAATTTCTTAGCAGAGCCCTGAATTTCTTCCCTTCCGAGATGGGTTTCCCTTTCTCGAAACAACCCTTCACTTCCTTCTCCTTCTTCTACTACTGTATTTTGGCTGCTCTTTGTTTGGGGCTCTTCGTTTCGCCATCATCATCAGCAGATGTGACCAATTTGATCTTCAAGGGCTGCTCCGACCAGAAATTCCAGGACCCATCTGGGATCTCGGCTCAAAACCTCAAGGACCTCTTCCAATCCCTGGTGTCGCAGTCCGCACAGAAGCCCTACTCCACCGCCTCGTCCGGCGCCGGGGCTGCCGCCATCAACGGGCTCTACCAATGCAGGGGAGACCTCTCCACGGCCCAGTGCTACGACTGCGTCGGCCGGATTCCGGACAAGTTCGACAGGCTCTGCGGCGGCGGGGCGCCGTCGGTGGCGGCCAGGGTCCAGCTCGCCGGCTGCTACCTCAAGTACGAGGTGGCCGGGTTCAAGCAGACCCCGGAGACCCAGCTTCTGTTCAAGGTGTGCGGGTCGACGACGGCCGCCGGAGATGGGTTCCAGCAGAGGAGGGACGCCGCGCTGGATGCGATGGCGAACGGGCTGAAATCGGGAGGCGGGAACGGGGTTTTCGCGACGGGGAGTTATCAGTCGGTGTTCTACTTGGCGCAGTGCGAGGGGGATTTGTCCGGCGGGGGAGGAGGAGAGTGCGGGAACTGCGTGAAGAGCGCGGTGGAGGCGGTGAAGACGCAGTGCGGCGGGTCAATCGGCGGGCAGGCGTATCTGAACAAGTGCTACGTTAGCTACACTTACTACCCCAACGGTGTACCGATCATCGATAACACCTCAGGTGAGCTAAATAGAAAAAAGGTTAAGAGAAAGCAATGTGGTGAATTTTTTCTTCTTCTCCCTGAGCCGGTTATAGAAGAAATTGGGGGTTTTCTTGTTTTTTAGGTGGAGGAGGAGGGAAGCCGCACACGGCGAGGACGGCGGCGATAGTGGTGGGGGGAGTGGCGGCGGTGGGGTTTCTGGTGGCGTGCTTGTTGTGCGTGAAGTCGGCATTGAAGAGGAATCGTGGCGGCGGCGGTGGTGGTAAGCATGGACACGGCGGCGGCGGAGGAGGGTGGAACTGACAGTGTTGGAGAAATTTTCCTTTCACACTGCCCTTTTCTTCCCACATAAAATTGTTTAGTTAATTAATGATTAACCAAGCATATTTTTCTGATGTTTTGTTACATAGTTTGATGATGAAAAAGCCTACATCTGTTTATAGACCATGAATGAAATTTAATTTTAGATATGATAGTTACGGTTAGGGTTGGAAGTTTGGTACCGGTATTTGGGATATACCGAATACCGTACCGAATTTGTCTATATTTGGTATTACCGAATACACGTATTATTTTGTGGGATTGGGATTGGGATTGAATTTCAATTGTTATTCGGTATTAGGGATTACGGGATTGGGATCGGTATATACCGAAATACCGATCAATACCGAAATATAAGCTAGTGTGTATTTTATCCTCCCAACTAGACTCTCTCATTCAATACTACGCGACCCTCAACCACCAAAAGTGTCATTTAATTATACATAGATCATTACATCACTATTTCACACTAGTATTAGTCGTCTCTCAACCTCAAATTCGTCAAATTAAAAATTATCAATTACAAGAACTTAAGATGTTAGCTCTAGGCAACTCAAGACTATTTGCTTAGTCTCTTTGCTCTAAATTAAACAATAAAATCTCATTTATATATTTAATTATTAATTGCAAAGGTAATTAAAGATGTATTCGATAATACCGATTGGGATACCGAGGTACCGATTGGGATACCGAAATTATTTAGGGATTGGAATTGGGATTGATTTTAGGGTGTAATTCGGTATTCGGGATTTCGGTATTTGGTATTGGGATACCGATACCGTACCGATTTCCACCCCTAGTACCGGTGAAAAGGAGGAATGACATTATTGACATCCGTCTTCAACTTAATCATCCTCCTTCAACTCAATCACGATTTGTCTATGGCAGAGGTTATCCATGGATATCAAACCCTAGATCATCCTCCTTTAACTTTAATCACATTAGTTTTAAGTTCAATTCGGTACTAATTTGTCTATAACAGAAATTATTTATGGATATCAGAAACCCGCGAAGCGGCAAAGGTGAAAAAACCCTTTTATGAATGTCGACAAACTTGAGTTTACAAATTGAAAATGATAATAGACTTAACCAAACTCGTCTTATTGTCATCCCTATTTAGAAGTGAAATCGATGAAATGGTTGTCACAAATTACATGGATGAATTGGTTCCGTTCAACTTCATTTTCTCCCTTATTTTTATCAGAGTCAAACATGAGAATCAAAAGTTTGAAAATGAGGGAATTGCTTGTTTAAACGATTCATTAATAGGGAGAGGGAGCCACGTCCACATCTCGCTCGCTTGCATATTCCAAAATAGGAACAACAAATCAATCGTCCCACCATTTTTTGGGGCCACGACTCGACCGCTGCAGCACAAGGACCGTTCATAGACTGACACAGGAAGCAAGTTGGGAGCTGAAACGGTGAGCTCGGGAAAAATGTAAAACCATTAGCGTAGGAAAAAAAGAGTTACTTCCTGTGGTAGATAAGATAACATCAGCATCCATTCTCCTTAATGGCTAAGGCAAACAAATGGGCCATCACCATTTCGAAGCTTTCACCCACGAACCACTGAATCATTTTGCATAAAGCAACTACTCAGATTGCAGACAACGTTTTGAGTCAAAAGATCCCCTCTTTGCACTGAAACACAGGCCAAGTCATAAATAAATAAATTAAAAGCAGCCAAAGCATGTCTGTAGAATGGAAAGCATATCACTGATTTCTCTAGAGACTAAGCAAAGCACTTGGTGGTGTAACAATGAGCTGCAACTTGCAAGTGCTTGCTTCCTCCTCCTGATTGCGACGGGCACCATCAGACAACAATCTGATCAAAATACCGCCTTTATTAGGTAAAAAAGGGGGATCACCATTCACTATAATTGCAGCAAATGGATCAAAGCAAGTCCACTATGATTCCTAACAGAGAAAAGGATATACCCACAAACATGCAAAAGCAAAACCATCCTACCAAGCATCGCTAAAGAGTGTCTGAGTTTTGATTGGCTAGAACTTAGAATCAACAGGGTAGACAGAGCAGCTAGCAATTTATCCAAGCAGTGAAGCAAACCTCATACTGATCGGACCTAACTTAATTGGTGAATCGAACAGCATATCCAGTAAACACAATAAGACAGACGAGCCACCCTGTAATACTTGAACCGGTTGTTCTCATCAGCAAACAACAGCTATTCAAGAACTACTCAGAAGTCAAACCCCTTCATCTAGATTTCAGATTATCCTTCTAGTTTAAGAAGAACCTTGGAGAAGGAAAACACCATCCAAAGTCCATGATTACTGACCTCTTGCGTTAACATGCTAAAAGTGCAGAAAGGAAGCATCTTGGAAGGGTTGAACAGCAAATTGGAGAGCAGCAGAGAGACTCTTTCACAATCAAGATATGTTTTCTACTCAGACAAATCTCTACTAGCAACCTAGTACAAAGGCCTTCTCACCGACCTATGGACAATTGTACCCACTCTTGCAAGAAAGGAAACATATGCTCAGAAGCACTTCTTTTATACTCTGTCTAGACTGTCCAGTCTTCACTAAAGATATTCATTGATTGGTAGCAATATGATCAATACAACTTTACACGCGAAAACCCGGTGCAACTCAAATACTACGCATTGCAGATATTCACACCAACATTGATTCACAAGGATCTGAATATGCAATCACTAGCAGAGAGGAACAAGGCAATCATGTCACAAGCAGCTGTGCCCTGATAAAACCGGCTTGTTACACTAATGCAAAGTTCAAGGCCTCCATTCTAAAACTCTTTCCTAGGCTCGTACCAATGTCAAGTTCATAACTTAATTGGAGTGGTTTGTACAATCCTTCCTTAACCGAAACAGTATCCAGCTTCAGCTCAACTACTGGGGATAATGGACGTTCAAAGTTCAAACCAACAGAGATGCATAAGTATCTGAATACCCTATAGTCGGGAGGAAACAAACGACAATCATGATCATTTTCAAAACCATCAAATGACGGAGGATCAAGAAGAGCTTTAACTAGTACAACAGTGAGTTACTACAACACAAAGACTAACACAATAAATTATTCAGCTCAAAATTCCCAATTTTCCTACCATAACACGATGAACAGAGTCTCTAACCTGACCCAGACACTCAAATGAGAGGCGCCACTGCCGCAACCACTACTTCTGAGGCGCACCAATCGGTGGCGCTCCGAGTAAACTCTGCTGCTGGAGCTCGAGCTCGGTCAGCTGCTGGTCCCTATCCATCTCGATGATCAACGGCACCACCAAGATCAAGAAGGTGGTTCCGGCGATCCAAGCCGCCTTCCCGGTGCTGCGGAGGAGCCTCTTGGTGACGTAGGCGGTGTCGCAGGCGGCTCGCTTGCCCTTGGAGACGATTTCGGAGTTCGTTAGCTTCGCGAGGATGGTGTCGGAATCCTGCTGCTGACGCTTCGCAGGACGCCTCTCCGGGAGCGAAATGCCGCCTCTGGCTGCCTGAGAGGCCATGTAATCGGCGATTGTGAAATTTAGGCGGTGGGGCTAGGGATTTCGCGAAAGCTGAGTTCGAGGAGGAAGGGTTTTGGTCAAGCTGATCTATCAGTGATTTATTGGAAGCATGAGGGTTTTAGGTGGAATAGAATCTTCAGGAAAACGGCACCGTTTCGAAGTTGAGCCGTTTCGTTGGAGAAACAGGAGCTAGACTCTCGCTGCAGAGTAGTCAAAAATCACATTTGCTTCAGTCCCAGTTTTTAGGCTAGCTCAAGGTCTTTGATGGTAGCTTTTGAGTTCTTCGTATTCGTATCGAACGAGTTACGCTCGATTCATCACGAACTACAACATGGATGAACTGGACAAACCATCTCGGCGTTGATCGATTTGTTGCACATGACATTGCAAAGCCATAGATAGCCAAGCCCTATTATGGTGGTAGAAAGTTGATGGGGAAAAGGGAAGGAGAAGGCTGGTAAGAGAAGCAAAGTTCTTTGAGAGCTCTGAATCTGAAGGAAAGATAACGTACACGGCGAGGGAAGGTCCATTTTCATTTCCCTCTCTTATACCATTCTACACTTGTCATCCAAATCGTCTGACCGTCATGGATTACTTCCTCTCAGGCTCCTATATACATACTACATTTCCGTTCTGGTTTCCACAGGTCCTGAAACGCTACCAACTAAGCAGTAAGCAGAGCGGCTCCCTTAAGCTCCTGCAGAAGCCATGGAACCCTGGTGAAATCGTTGAGGCGCTGCGATTGCATCCATTTCTTGAGCACCACCACATTCATCCTCATCTTCCTCTGCTTCCCACAGAAAGCTCGCATATGCAGCATGAACATGGCTGCAAAAAAGAAAAGAAAAAAACATGGTCAGGAAACAATGGATCGCCGCAAGCAAACTTCAAACTGTAACACTTCAATGGCTCTCTCTCGGGAAGGGTTTCATGATAAAAGTCAATAATCTAATATGAGTAGGCTGTCAAACAAACTAGTTCAATTGGTTTTCCTGTACAAGTCTATTCAAAGATCGATTCTATAGTCCACGTCCAATGGTATATGAGACTATATGTACCTATCTTGAGGGGAAGCTTGAACTGAACGTTCAAAGTAGGCAGAGGCTCTGTCTTCATCACGGTGAAGCCCCCATATCAATTTTGCATACCGAGACAGAATCTCCCCATCGTTTGGATCGGCCAAGATTGCTCGCGAGTAGTACTCTTCTGCTGCCTTCATATCTTTCTTAGTCTGCAGCAGAATCATTAAGCAGCCATTATTTTCCTTTTCTGTATGTCTAAGCATTCAAGGCATGATTTAGCCGGCAACTCGAACTTTAAGTTTTACCTGATGCAAGAACTGAGCATAGTTCCTCAAGAACAAAGGGTTGCCAGGGTTGTCCTCCACCATTCTCTTGTAGTAATCCTCTGTCCCTCGCATGTCTCCACCATCTCCACCCGCCGGAGTATATCCTCCTCCACCGCCACCAATGCCACCACGGCCGCTGCCACCACCACCACCATCACCACCACCTCCGCCACCAGGGTAAGTGGGGAGCAGCTCAATGCCAAGGCCTCTCGCAATATGCATCTCATCCCTATAGTAACCAACTTCCATAACATTCACCTTCCCATCACTCAAACCCATCTTCCCCATCTGCTCACTCAATCCCAATCCAGCAGAAATCCCCTCGTCGTAGGGTTCCTCCTCATCTTCCACATCCTCGCTGTCTTCCTCCTCCTCCTCATCTTCCTCGTAATGGTACCTCGAGTTGTAAAACGAGAAGGAAGGAATCGTCTCCAACATGAAACACCTGGCGGGTTTCCCCACTGGGAACCGCGGGGGAAGAGGGCTGATGTGGGTTTCCACGTCTGCGTACTTGTTGCTGTTGCCGCCGGAATCATACGTCGCCAGCGCTTCCAAGTTCCCGTCGGACCGAGAGCGGCGGAACCCACCTAGGGAAGAAGGGTCGGGGGACATGCTGGGAGAGGAATGGTAGCTGGGGAACTTGGAAAAGCCGGGCTGATGCTTGAACAGGCCTGGACTGCAGCTGCTGCTCTCATGGTGGTTAATAACATTCGGACCGCCATCGTTGATTGACGAAACAAGGGACCCTAGAACTGGGGTTGAAGAGCTTCGCAGCAGCATTGTTTCGATTCAGCTTCTTTCTACAGATTTGTGACAACAATCGACAAAAATCAAAACTCAGATATGCAAAAGCAGTAACAGTAGAGAGCGGCATCAAATCCGCCATTGCAGATTTGTGAATCTCATAAAAATTGGAAACTGGGAGTTGAATGAAACGCCATGGGAGGACATACCTTGAACTCGGTCGAGAATGCGGTAGTTTGTGTGGCGGAGAAATGCCGGTGGGGATCTGGAAAGTAGAAAGTGAGAAATATCTTTTTTCTGCTCGTATTTATTTCTCGGGGCAGGGTGTGAGTAGAAAAATATTTGTGAAACGAACGGCGGACGGCTGTCATTGAAAGGAGAAGGGTTGTTGGCGCGACGGCCCCAGGAAGGGTCGTAGAGATGATGAACTTTTCCCCATGATCACGCACGTGATTTATTAAAGGTCAATTACATAAATACTACTTTGGGAATAGGGCCACAAATGAGCCGAGTCGAGTTTTACCCTGACTTGAGCTTGGTTCGTTAATAAATAAGCTCGAGTCGAGTTCGAACTAGCTTGTTTACTCAAATTTTGAATTTTATTTGGTACTTCAGTTGGTGTATCATGATACATATTATTTATTTTGTTAACTAATCTCATATTATACTTTGTTGGTATCATATATCATTTAGTTAATAAATTTTAGGGTATGCCTACTATGACATGCATGTCACCGTGACATGGACTTTTCGGTTGACCTATTTTTGAAGGCGGTCGACCGAATTGACTAATTTTGGCAGCACGAGAAAGCATTGCGGTCGACCACAACGACCACCTGGTCGACCGCACTTAGTTTAAGTTGTTATTTTTGGTCGACCAGAATAAAACCTCGGTCGGCCAATTCGTTGGAGTCAGAAACAACATGGTCGGCCACCTAAGGTATATAGGTCGACCATTTGATGGCAGTCATTAACAAAATGGTCGACCGGATAAGGAAAGAGGTCGACCAGATAGAAGATAAGTGTTCTATCAAAGTGTCCAATCATTTAACGTAAAATGAAGATCAAGTGTTGGTTTCGAGGTCGACCTAATCCGATACGAGGTCGACCGAATACAAGAAAGTCAACCTATGCCCCGTGTGTTTTTTGCTTATGTATGTCGATTTGTGTGGTTCTTTTGCTCGTATAAATTATGTTTCAAACCATCATAAATAGTCATAAATAATGATAACAATGACTCATCAATTCATAGCATAACAACTAAACAAACTAACAAGAAATACAATAAAACGGAAATCATAATTGTTCACACATAAAAATAAAACTAAAAAAACAACAGAATAACAATCAACAATCGTTTTGACCACTTAACAATAAAAACACACAATCTAAAATCTTCGTGCTGCTACTCATCTCCCCTCTCTCCCTCATCCACATTTTCTTCATTGGTGGTGCTAGCATGATGGTGGTCGGATGTGGTGGGATGCATGTATCTTCCGCTGAAATATCACCACTCATCTCGCATCTCATTCACGGTCACTTGCATTGTGCTCATCTGGGCGGTCATTTGCCCCATGTAGTCGTACATGCCAGTCATCTGGTTGGGCATCTGGCCCATATACTCGTACATGTCATCCATGCGCTCCCACACACGCTCTAAGGTGATCGGTGGAGTTGAACTATGTTCCTGCGGCATTGGCTCGTCTCTGGCTCCTTCATCACCATCATCATCCTCATCATCATCCTCATCATCATCATCATCATCATCATCACCATCATGGGCACCATGAGCATTGTTTATTCTGACATACTCACCATTACGCAGCTCAAAGACCATCTTTTTCAGAGACGAAACAGTATAGAACTCCTGCCTTGAGATTCTTAACCCCACCTCTTCACTTAAATTCACATTAAAATGCTCAAATAGCATAGTAAGGATCATCCCATAGGGAAGATTCCTGTTTGAACTCTCTGCAGCAGTAAGCATGTGGTTAAAGATCAAGTATGGCAAGTTCACCTTCTCGTTTAACAGTAGGTTGGTGAGGATCTCCATGTCGAAGTAGGTGACTGTCTCCCGATGTCCACCCATTGGCAGAATGTTGTAGGAAAGCATGTGGTGAAGAACTCTGGCTTGAACTGTCAGGTGGTTACTCGTTGGCCTACTGCGACCCTCAGCATCTTCCTCTTCATCAAGACCACATACCATCTGGATTTGCTTGGTTCTCGTGAAATGAGTTTCATTCCAAGCAGTGTAAGAATGGATTCTCTTCCCCTCATTTGGAGCCTCTAGTACTTGCGGCAACACATTCTTGCTTATGCGCATCACCACCCCATTCACATAGGTTTTGAATGCGTGAATGGATCCATTTGCATTGCGCTCGTAGACGATGTTGTTGTAGAAGTACTGTACCATTTTTGGGTAGTATGGTACATTCAGAGATATCACCTTCAGCCACTCTTGCTCAATGAAGGTTCCTAGAAACCCGTAATTCTCGAAATGAGAATACGCATCCGTCGTCAATGGCCTTCTAGGAGCCACCCTTCGGTTGTGCATTCTCTTCTCTTCATAGTTGTCACTTTGCTCCTTGGTCTGGAACAGATTGGGATTGAACTCTTCCCATTCCGAACTTGAGGCAACAGTTTTTTGTGACTTTCTTTTCTTTTTGTTGCCAAACATCCTGCGATCAAACAAACGAGAATACACGTTAGTCACATTTTCGAAATGAACAAAATGCGGTCGACCACTCCATAAAGTGGTCGACCTCAGTTAATTTAAAACGAGAATGGGTCGACTCAAACCCGTAACAATTGGAGTACAAAAAACAATAGGTCGACCTCAAATGAAGCATAGGTCGACCTCGGAAAATTTAAAATGAGTCTCTGAATGGACCAAATGCTTAAAATGTTGAGTGCGAAACAGATTAGGTCGACCTCAAAATTACAACAGGTCGACCTCAATTAGTTTAGCACAAAATAATTCGTAGTAGAATGGCAAAACTCGTTTTTTTGCAGTCATAGGTCGACCTTAGAAGCATCATAGGTCGACCTCAGCATATTTAAAACGAGACTGAATGGCCCAAATGCTTTAATTGTTGAGTGCGAAACAGACGCGGTCGACCTCAACATCACACCTGGCTGACCGCAGTTAGTATCGCACAAATAATTCTTAGGAGAATGTCAAAACTTGTATTTTTGCCTTCATAGGTCGACCTTAGAAGCATCATAGGTCGACCTCGGCAGTGGCGGATCCAGCGGGTGGCCACCCCGGGCCCCGGTCCAGCCCTCCCCTGGATTCGGAGTTAGTATAGTGTTTATGAATTTTTCGATTTTAGTTATTCGACCTAGTATTATTTTATAATAAGATTGGGTGTAACTAGAAAAATGATTCAAATTAACATATTCAAAACACTACTATAAATTTAGCCTAGAAATTCTAGCTCCAAAGACCATTTTTCTAAAAAAACAATGAAATCTAAAATTCTAAAATTATAAAACGTAAAAGACTATAAGAAATATGAGGTTTGTTCCTTTGAAAATTTACTAAAGCAGTTAGTGGATATAGGTATGGACACACAATGCACGATTGATTTGTCTAGTGTTGACGCTGCTCGTATCAACAACTACTACAAGGAGAACCTTTTCAACAATGAAACATATGAAAACTGATTTCGCAACAAAATGAACGATGAATTTCTAGCCGATTGCTAAAGTATTTTATTTAAAACAATGTAATCTATTGGTATGGATGTGGACTCCATTATTGATGCATTTGCTAAATTAAAATACCGTCGTGTACAATTTATATTGTAAAAAAAACTATAATATCTTTTTACGATTCTAATTTTTTTAATGAAATGCGGCCCAGTGCTCTTCTATGTTCTGGATCCGCCGCTGGACCTCGGCAAATTTAAAATGAGTCTTAAATGGCCCAAATGCTTTTAATGTTGGGTGCAAAACAGATCTGGTCGACCTCACAATTTCACAGGTCGACCAGAGTTAGTTTCGCACAAATAATTCGTAGGAGAATGGCAAAACTCGTATTTTGGCCTTCATAGGTCGACCTCGGCAAATTTAAAACTAGTCTGAAATGGCCCAAATGCTTTTAATGTTGAGTGCAAAACAAATCTGGTCGACCTCACAATTTCACAGGTCGAGCAGAGTTAGTTTCGCACAAATAATTCGTAGGAGAATGACAAAACTCGTATTTTGGCCTTCATAGGTCGACCTCAGAAGCATCATAGGTCGACCTCGGCAAATTTAAAATGAGTATGAAATAGCTCAAATGCATTTAATGTTGAGTGCAAAACAGATCTGGTCAACCTCACAATTTCAACAGGTCGACCAGAGTTAGTTTCACACAAATAATTCGTAGGAGAATGGCAAAACTCGTATTTTTGCCTTCATAGGTCGACCTCAAAAGCATCATAGGTCGACCTCGACTAATTTAAAACGAGTTTGAAATGGCCCAAATGCTTTTCAAGCTATAGATGTAAGTAAAAATCCAAAAAAATCGTAGCAAAACGTCATAGGTCGACCTCAGTCCAAAAAAGACAATAATGGATCGATTGAAAGTTAGTTGCGATCGACCACGAAGATGAAATGGTCGACCGAACCTGACGAACAGTAGGGAAAATCCCTCTTTTCAAGATATAGATCTAAATAAAAACTCAAAAGCTCGTAGCAAAACGTCACAGGTCGACCTCAATATCATCACAGGTCGACCTCAGTCCATAAAACAGAAGAACAAAACGATTGAAAGCCAGATGCGGTCGACCACGAAGATGAACAGGTCGACCGCATCTGACGAACAGAGGGAAAATCCCTCTTTTCGATCTTTAGATTAAATAAAAACTCAGAAACCCGTAGCAAAACATCACAGGTCGACCTCAATATCATCACAGGTCAACCTCAGTCCATAAAACAGAAGAACAAAACGATTGAAAGCCAGATGCGGTCGTCCACGAAGATGAATAGGTCGACCGCATCTGACGAACAGAAGGGAAAATCCCTCTTTTCCATCTTTAGGTCTAAATAAAAACTCAAAAACTCATAAAAAAACATCACAGGTTGACCTCAATATTATCACAGGTCGACCTCAGTCCATAAAACAGAAGAACAAAACGATTGAAAGCTAGATGCGGTCGACCACGAAGATGAACAGGTCGACCGCATCTGACGAACAGAAGGGAAAATCCCTCTTTTCCATCTTTAGATTTTTTTCAAAACAATCTAATCTACCAAAGAAGAAGAGAAAAATTGAATCAAATGAAAAGAAGATTGATATACCTTACCTTGTTCTTCTTCTAAGTGACGATGATGAAATGGAATGGAGGTTTCTTTGAGATTTTGGAAATAGTAGATTTTGGAAATTGGAGAAGAAGATGAAGAAGGGAAAGGAGAGGAAGAATGAGTGGATGTGGTGGGATAGGGTTCTG